ACATACATGTATCTGTAAATACTTTTCTCTAGATATGGAGGAAGAATAAAGGGGACTTCTTTTTAGCTTGCGTATATCTCAATGAGATGAGCACACCATTTTTGTCTTTTAAGGCAATTTTAGAAAAGGTAAGCTCATTATTTTGAACTGTATTAAATTTTATATTTATTTGTGTTTATTTTATTATCCTTGGGGTACAAGCCCTGAGTTGCTGTTAAATGCTGATATCCATACCATGGGTGGCATCTTGAAATTCCGACAGAGAGGGGAGTTTCTTGGACTTGAATTCTGAAGGCATTGGGAGGTAATGCAATTTGGAATTCCAAAAGCATGGGGGAGTTTCAGCTCTGAATTTCCAAAGGGGAAGGTGGCAAAAGCTTTGCTTAGAATCATTTGATCTGTTAACTTCTCTAGTTCATAAATCAAGCACGAACTGACCGCGGAAGCAGGGTAAAGATCAATCAGGCAGATGTTAGCTTTCATGCAGATAAAAGTAGATCAAATGTGGGTTGTGTAGCAATCTCCACATCAAAGAGGCCTTAAAGTTGATGAATTTGTCATTCAGATTAATGAAATCTGTGTTTCTCGTCGATTTAAAATTGTCAATCAATGATCTTGTTGCATGCGAAAAACTCATACCACTCTCCTTTCCAAATGAAACCCCTGACAGCTTTGTACTTCACAACAACATGTTGCCAGCAGAACCCGGCAAGAACAGCATGCCTTTTAGTGATGCGCTGTTTAATTCAAAACTGTTTATGCGCAAGTGTTTTGATCATTCAGAATAATTAATTATCACTTGTCTCTGTTTTAAGAGTAGAACTGATGTATCATTGTTTATGTTTTGTTTCAATGATGTCTTATCTCTGAGCTAGTTGTTGGAGTTGAAGAGTTCTGTCAGTACTGCTGTGGGTAAATAACAGACCTGACAGCCTTACATTCAAAGCAATTTGTGTTCAAATTAATGACATGATTTCTGATGGATATTAAAAAAACATCTATAGCATACACAACCAGTATCATTTTAGTAGTATGAAGGAAGCAGGAGTATTGCAATCCTCCTGTGGCAGGTTGTTCAAAGCCTGACTAAGCTAACCCAGGATTAGCCAAAGTTTTTATTTCATGTTTTTTTTTACCTTTTCCATGAGGTCAAAATATTCTTCCCAGTTTGAATAGTCTCGGACTACACAAGACAAAAGCAGTGAAAAATATTTCTATACAACTTGCAAAAATTAATACTGCGGTTAACTTATAATCCTGGGTTTAGCGTTAACCGGCTTTCCAACAACCCGGCCCTGGACAACCTTGTCATTTGCAGGTATTACCAAACCACCCCCCCCCCCCCTAATGTTTCATGAAGGCAATATTTGCTTGATTTATATATTTCTGAACCAAGTTTGGCAGATGAACTTTCTTTGTTATGTAGGAAACGGTGTTGTCTTGGCAACCATGTTTCTGTTTTGTCGAGTGCTCATCTATCCTTATATGTACTGGCGCTACTCTAGATATGCCAATATTCCTTTTCTAGAGACCCCATTTAAAATACCTTTATTTTGCAATACATTCTGCTTTTTGCTCCTGAGTGTACAAGTGTACTGGTTTCTTGTAATAATGCGTGGAGTCTTGCGGTTCTTCCTCAAGCCCACAAATATACCACAAATGCCAGTTCCAAAAGTAAATGGTGAAAATGGTTTCTTGCATACAAATCATGGGAATTCTGGCTGCAATAATGTTGATGAAAAGATGAAGTAATACGGAGGCCATTTTATCCTGTAGGTGAGGTAACATTAATCAAGACATACATTTTTGTGAATATTTAAGCAAAATTATTAAGAGTCAGAGTTATACAGTACAATTTAATGTTGAGAAATCTTAATACTTTAATAATAGTTATCACAAAATGCAACTAACAACAGTCTTCTCTGCAATGTTTAACTGAATTGATAATTAAAATGGATTACGGACAAACTGCTGTCAAAAATCAATGATTAAAATATTTAAAATGATCCATTTTCTCTCTTCTTTTGACAAGAGTTTCTTGTCTTATTCCTTGTAAGTGAAATAGAAGAGAGAAAATTGAAATCCCCATACAGGGTAAATTTCTTCCAACACTTGTTTTACTGAAAGTTTACAAGAACTACAACAAGTGAAAACTGAAAATGTTGCATTTTCCCTCAAATTTCATTACATTTTGGCATTTGAGGTGATGTGATTGCCATTAATATAATTTTTTATATTAATTTATTGCAACAAACATGGAGAGTCCAGTCTTTCCTGACTTCTATTTCAAGACAGTATCATTTTTATAATTTATTTATTATTAACTATGTAAGGATGAAAATTATGATATTTAGATTTTATTTAAAAACCTTAGGTTGTTTCAACAACAAAATAATTGCTTGTTACTATTTGTAGTGGAGTCCAGGATGCATTGACTTTTGATATTGTATTTCAGACCACTTTGAAACTGATACCATTGTAGTTTAGTTGTACATTTATCAAAGGCTTGTAAATGTTTTGAAAAAAATTAAAGTGGACATATTATATTATCTATTATTTTTTCCATGGAGTAAACTTTTAGTGAAATTGGTTGTCACAATTTACACAAACAAAACAGAGTTGGTAGAAAGACTGCAATAGCTACAGCAATTGGAATTAACATGCTTGATTCATCATTGGCATAAGGATCAATAGCCTTGGGGCCAGATAACTTCCGTTGTTTCTTGGGCTTATCTTCTTTACTGTCTTCATCATCATCATCCTCTTCATTCTCCTCTCCTGGGCGAGGCAGGGGGGGCAACTTTGGAACATCTGTAAATAAGTGCAATGTAAAGATTATGTCTGCATTTTTTCTGTGGAGGGGGGGGNGGGCAGGGATGGCTCCATAAAGCCAATTTTGCTGCCCTTGGTTTTCACTTTTGTATACTTTAACGTCCCTAACCTCCCTGAATAAGATGTTGGTGCTCAACACTTCCTCCTGCTACCCTTATAAGTTTAACTAGCACAACATACCTCATAAGTCTGGTAATGATTTTATTGCCTGTAGTGCCATTGTTTAATTGCTTATGAAAATAAACTGACAAGTTATCTTAAAAACTTATTTTCCGATTGAATCATCTTGTAGCCTGGGCTAGAACACAGCTCTGACAGGGCATCTACAAGTAAGACATTCTGCTGTAAAAGTGCTGTTCATTTAGGTGGCTTTCAACACTCTTGAAGGACTAAAAAAGCCCAACTTTCAACTCTATAATAATTGTACAATGATCAGAGATGTTTTCTTTTTCTCTAATTAGTGTCTACTCAAATTTAACCATCATGAGCCACACTTTACATTTTCATACTTTGTCTTCCTGATTCTCATTTTCTTTAGCGAGACTGTTCAATCAGATCCAATTTCTAGTTCCTGAAAATTTGAGGTAGGCCATGATCATAAGCCATAATTGGTGAGAAAGTTGAAACTCTGGAAAAACATGTCACAGACCTTGTCTTTAAAAAGTGTTTAGTTTTAGAATGGCCAAGAATGTTGAATTCCTCTGTGAATCAATGTATGTTTGGGCATACTTAGCAGTCTCCTGTCCAAGGAATCAAGTGCAATGTAAAATACAGAAACTTTTAAATAACTCACCATCTAAAGTTCCTTTCATAACCAAAACAGCATTGACTTTGGGATTGTCATAGTAACCCTAAATTTCAACAAAAAAGAGTAGGAAACTATAAATTAAACATGTTTTAACTAACATGTAGAGAAGCTTTTTAAGTGGCAACAAGGTCAATTCTAACAAACATTGTTTCTAAAGAGTGTTTCTTAGAGGAGAAGGTCACTCCAAAAAAATGTATTTCTTTTTTTGTCAGTGCTAATAAAAAAACTTGCACTGAGTTTAGCCACTCACTGAAGTGTCAGCCTCTAAAGGGCAGGTTTTTCTTATGAAATTTGTTTCCAAAGAAGCCCAAAATTTGACATCATTTCCATCATTTTGAACAGTGCTCAGTAGTCTGGCTGCATTTTCATGAAGTCATTCTGTCTGAGAGATTTTGTCCAAATGGCCTCCGACAAGCCTTATAACTTCCACTCTAGGTTATGGCTGCTCTGGAGCTGTATTATTTTGAACTGAACATGCTCCAAACCCCAAAAATGATAGCAGTGAAGATGGTTAAGTTGCTGACCTTGTGAAGGATGCCAAGTCAGTCACGCTAGGGTCAAACAGCCCTGAAAACGGTCATTAAGGTGTCACGAATTTTGGTTATTTCAGCATAACTTCAGTGTAGTAAATATCTTGTTGCGAAACTTGGCAAGTGAATAGAGGACAAATGTCCATTTTTTTTGACAACAAAATTGACAGCAAATATCAAATTATGACATCACAGTTAATGACGTCATTCCATAACCCTGATTAAAAGTTTTAAAATTCCAACTTTTTTTGTACTTCTTTAGAAAGAGCACAGCAGGAGTAGTTAAAAGCTGAAAACCATTTGTCCATATCTCAAAAAGTAAAAGAGATATGACATTGTAAATTTTAGAGATTGCTCAGCCCAAAAATGGTGACTCCCCCCTCCATAGATATTTTCAAATTGAAGGTGTGTTTTCATGTTAGCTATCTCACTTATGTTGCATATTGACTGTACTACATGAGTAAAACACGTGTAATCCAAAAAAATGCCCATCAGTGTTTTTCCTGCCTTCCTAAACACCTCAAAACATATTTGTAACGTCATTAGAAGTGACATCATCAATTATTCAACCACCAAAAACTTGTTTAAGAGGCCAAGATTAAAAAATGTAAAATGATACGATTTTTAGCAGCACTAAGTACTCTATATTACCAAATTCTCAGAGTTCCTCAAAGAAAACTGAAGGAAAAAAATCAAGGGGTTGATTTTAGAGGAACAGTATGGTTCCGGAGGGGAAAAC